AAATGGTCTCCGTCGCACCAGGTACCTCGCTCAGACTTCCGTCTAGCCTCCTCTCTCGCTTCTCTCCCTCCAAGCAACATTGTGCAAGTGCGGTGGGAAGATGAGTTCTCGCTCTCTTGTTTCCCTGTATGTTGCCACCTCTGGGTTTCCAGAGGGCGCCTCTCCATCGTCCCAGACTTCGGGCACTGGGGGCCTGGAGACTCTTGCAGAGCATGCAGAACATTCACATGGGCCTCTCCCAGCCATCAGGAACTCTGAGATGGAGACCCCCAGCGCCCAGGTGCACCTTTGCCCCTCAAGCACTGACGGGTCTGAGGTTCAGCTGTGTGATGGGGACAGAGGAAGCAGGAGATGTTCCTTCTCTTCCCCAACGTCAGAGTCTCCAAGATACTGGTCTGCAGGGGTCTGGGGGCAAATCATGCCTGCCCACTCTTGGCTCTCGAGCCCCCTGCCTGCTTCTTTGCCATTAGTGCTGTCAAGTGGATTCTGACTCCTATAGACCCTGTGGACAGCAGAGCACGACCCTGCCTGGCCTTTTTGTGCCATCCTCTCACTTCCTGCGCTGTGTCAAACAATGTGCCATTGCTATTCATAGGGTTTTCGTCGCCAATTTTTTTCAGGTGGGCGGCCGGGTCCTTCTTCTTGGTCTGTCTTAGTCTAGAAGCTCCATTGAAACCTGTCTACCATGGGTGACCCTGCTGGAATTTGAAATACCGGTGGCAGAGCTTTCAGCATCACAGCAACACACAGCCACCACAGGATGACAACAGACAGGTGGTGAGGTTCCCTGACCGGCAAATGAACCTGGGCCGCGGTGGTGAGAGCGCCGAATCTTAACCACTAGACCATCTCTGCCTGCTTTTAACACCCACATGTTTACCAGGTACTAGACAGGGAGAGAGGTCCGCAGCAGGAATGGTAGTACCCAAAGCTCCACGCTTCCTCAGACCACCCGCTCAGGGCACCCTGGGACGCTCCAAAGCTCGTCCCACCTGGCAGAGGGTGCCGAGGCCCAAGGAAGACACACGGGTTGTCACAGCCAACACAGTACCTGTGGCGTTCACCCTCCTTCCCCACCTCCCAGACCCCCACCTCCAGCCTAACAGCAAACCACTGCACAGACCCGTTATTCAAAGAACAAGACGTGTTGACTGGCAACTTCCGGTTCCACCCCAGAGGTCGGTTATGCCCTTCAATCTGGGGAGACTCAGGGTCCTGGGGACCTCTGGAATTGAGTGTAAAGGGACAACCAGTACCTAACCTCACACAGGACTTCTGGATGAAGCGGTGGCATTTTATTTTTCTGAGCTCACATAATGTAATGCACAGTCAAGGAGGGAGGAAGTATTTTCCCATCATTTCCTAGAAGATGAATGCCAAAGCCAGGACTGAATCAAGGCGAGTGTAGTCTGTGTAAAGAACAGACCCATTAACAACAGGGAGGAACATGCTGGTCCCAGGAAGACTATTAGGATGAGCACTCATGGATCAAATACAGAAATAATGCTCTAATAACGCATGCGATCACGTTTTTATTAACAAAGGAAGTCTCGTTTGGAAACAAAACATCCCTGAGGGAAGTCTGAAATTAATCCTCCGATAGGCAGAAATCCACACTGCTTATACATTCTAATTATCATTACAACCCGCTCTGAATGCGAACATTGCCCATTATTAGTCACTTTATTAAGAACCAGAAAAAAGACTTCCTACCGAACAATGAGAACCACTCACAAACCGTGAGAAGGAGAAAACCATGAGACAGTTCTGCACGGAGGTGGAGAACGGCGGATATAATTCATTTTATAAAAGTGCTTTGTTTCTCTTTTTTGTTTAGGAATTGGTACGCCCTTAGGGGTTCAGAAACCAACAGGCTTCAGAACTGCTCTTTCTAGGGCAAGATAAAAATGGGTACCATAGAAAAATAACAATTTATCATTGCAATGGTTACACCCCACTTCAGAAACCACGAGAGACTGCTTAACATTTTTACTTCAAACACGGTTTTCCTGAGTCTTTAGGTGACACACAGATACTGACACCGGAAGGAAGGCTTCTTCCATCAGTTCTTCATAAAAAGGGCTGGATTCTGAGTTTGTCACCATCTGGGTGACGCTGAGGTCTGTGCTTCCTTAGACTGACCCTTCCCCTCCTCCTTGGTGCTCCTGAAATCGCCAATGGCAGCATCTGGGCCCCCAGTCACTGAAGACAGTGACCTTTTCCTTCTTGTCCCATCCCCTCGAGACTTCTGCTGGAGGGGGAGCGCACGATTCGAATGGAAGGACGTGCTGACCACATCCTCCCTGGGCGTGTGTGCTGAGCACTTTCCATCTGCTGGAACCCATTTGGTGTCCGCACAGACCTCCTCATGATGGAGGGGTTTCTCTGGTCCAAAACGTTCCCGGGATTTCTAGATGCTGTCATTGAACTCATGCTGATTATTTTCCTTCTGTTACTTTATACGGCCAAATCGTATAAAGATTTGCTGTTGTTGCAACATCAGATCCTTGATGTTTCTTCCTGACGTTAAGACTTCATACATTGGAGCCTAATCTAATCCTTCTCTTTTTCTTCCTCTTATGGAACAAGGATCTAAATGTTCCACTCTGGTTATGCGAACCAAGGTTTTTGTAGAGTAGTAACTAACGGCAATAAAAAATTTTTATTGAATGCTAACTATGGGTCAGACACTAAGGTAAGGGCTTTCAAGTTTCTTCTCAACAGCCCCACGAGGGAAATATCACATTATCTACATTGTGTAAATGAAGTTGAGACTAAAGCACAGAGAGGTTGATTAACTCACTCACAGTCACACAGCTGGTAGGGGTAAATAAAGCCTCTGAATTCAGATAACCTGACTCTAGAGCCCAAGTTTTCAACCCTCACACTAAGCTTAATTATGCTCTCAACAAGTGGGATGAGTTGCTAGAGGCATGATGGTCAGTGTTACTAAGGTGAAGGCATGAGTTCAGTGACTCTTTGATGCCCCCTTTCAAATTTAATCCCATCTCTGACTGTTCGGAAGCTTTCCACCTGGAGTCCACACGGTTCATCCTCGTGTCCTGGGAAGGACAATATCTGTGGTCAGTGTCCAGGGGAACAGAGGAGGAGCCTGGGCGCTGGGGCCAGAGCACCCCTGAGAGTGGAACCAGAGGAGTCCACTCAGAGCGGGTGAGAAGGCCTGGGACCTACTCGCCTGCAATATGAGAGTCTTGAGTGCTGTTTCATGTTCCAGGGAAGTTTCAGCCTGTTCAACAAATCTGAAAAATAACCCACCAACAGACAAGCGGCGGTTTACGTATCTTTCTTAGAGGGTGTGTTTGGTGCCGAGCACACCAGGACAGTCCTGGAAGTCAACTCTGGGATCCACCTGTGTGGCAGGCAGGCAGGTGAGCGTGGACACTCAGATCCCCCACCCAGGAGCTGTCCAGACAGCCAAGCTTCTGATTATCATCGATTCCGCATGGACAGCCCCCACGGAGAGGACGCAACACGGACCGAGGACTCAGCAGGCGGGTTTTGATTGGTGATGCTTCAACTGGCATTCTGGTTTATCTATCTGTCATTTTTGAGTTCGATGAAGGTGAGAGTTTCCCTGAGCCTCTTACGTGGTGGGTGCATAGACAAATGAAAATTTCTCGATCTTCAAGCAAGGGAACCCAATCCTGTTCCTTAATGACCCATGGGGAGGGAGGCTATTGTCCTTCCTCTGACCCTCGGGCCCTCTCCTTGCTCCTCCTTCCCTGCTCCAGGGCGCAGAAGGGGGAATCACTCGGAATCTGGGATGCTAATGAGGCCATGGTTACTACAGGGCGTGGTCGCTGGGTAGAAAGGCTGGCTCCAGGTGTGGTGCTCCTGTGGGCTCCCATCCCATAAGGGACCTGTGCTCTTGGCACATTCTCCTGAGCGTTCTCCTAGTCTTTCCTCTTGAGCCCCTGGTCATGAGGCTGGCCAAGGTCCCAAGCACTGGACTGTGGGATGCAGGCATTTGTGGTTTGCTGGCTTGACTCGTCACAGAACCCATCAAGGAATTCCACCCCACAAGATGTGCCCGGGGACACTCTAGGACCAGGAGCCTGGCCTCGGAGCTGTGGTGGTGACCAAACCCAGCCCCATCTTCCCAGGGCGAGCAGTGCACCTGGTGTGATGGCAAACCCCACACAGCCAACAAGCACAGCGAGCGCCTTTCTCTTCAAACTTTCCCCCCAGTGGAGTAAGGGCATCGTGATGAATAAACTAATGATTCTTGAAGTTAAACAACAATTTCAAGAAAAAATTGCCACAATTTGCCATATCTTCATGGATCTTACTGTGTTTTCAATGCTTCATTTTATTTTATGTGATTTTGGTCTTTTGAGGTCAAAATGAACATGCAAGATTTCTCACCCTCAGTGCTACTGACATTTGGGGCAGGATAATTCTTTGTTGTGGGGGCTGTCCGTGCACCGTAGTGTGTTTAGTGGCGTCTCTGGCCTCTACCCACCAGCATCCCCTGTTCAACTGTGACAACCAAAAATGTCCCCAAACATCACTGAATGTCCCCTGGAGGGCACAATCATCTCTGGTTGAAAACCACAGCTTTCAAAGGTTGAACTAGTTTCTTGCTAGTTTGGGGACTAGGTGTAGGTAGTTAGTCCTGGTGTTTGCAATCTCCAGGCAGTGCTCCTCCTCTATCTGTGCACTCACCCTCTGGTCTGGTTACTTGGGAATGGCAGTCATTGTTGGGCAGAGGGACACTGCTGGGGGCCCGCCATTTGCCAGCTGGCTCCCATCCAGCAGGGCTGGAGATTGTCGTGTTGGGTTAGGTGCGCTGTTCCCGGGGTTTGGCGTTGGGTTTTGTCGGTGTTGTTTGATCAGTAGTTATGTTATTTGGGGGCCCTAAATTCAACACGAGGGCTCAGACTGGGTGGGGACTGTTCCTTCTCTGCAGAGACTTATTCTTAGACACGTGCATCCCTCTGAGCCGCTCAACTATGAATACACAGCCAGGGCCAACTGACCTCTGTGGATGTGGGCCAGAGACAGGGAGGCAACGTGATGGAGACATGAGTTCCAGGCACTGAAAAAGTCCTCCTTCTTGGTCATCACCTGTCAAATGGACAAAAGGAAAACAACCACTGATGATACTCAGAGAATCAAACTGAGGACTTAGGCAGATGGCAAATACGCACATTTTCAAGACAACCGTAAGCGTGGGCATGTTGCAAGGCTGGCCTCTGTGACCCACAAAAGCTAGTCATTAGATGGAGAAATGTCATCAGCGTACTGTGAGCCCAGTTTATATGTTTGTATTGATTCCTCACACATATCAAACACGGCCACTACCAGCTGCCAGTTCTTGAGATGTAACAGGCGTTCCAGAAATGATTTGAAGGGGAAAGCACATACTCAAATTAAGGGAGCCTGTTCAATCTGGTCATTCGCTGCCTTAAGAATTCTAAATACCACAACTAACGACTCGCGTCTAATCCACAACAAAGCCAAGCCACCTCCCACCCTCCCTGTTTCCACTGCAGGCAGGCACTTCCATTTGTTTTCAAGTTGTTTCTGGAACGCCTGTCACATCTCCAGAATTGGCATTCAGGAACGGCCGTGTTCGATATGTCTGAGGAACTCACATCAACCTGGAATCTGGACTCAGAGGACGTTCCTATCATTTATTCATCTAACCAACAGCCTGTGTGGGTCTATTCTGTGTACAACATCTTTCCATCACTCTAATGAAGGGAATTTTTTTGCTTTGTTTTGTTTTTTAGTTGGAGGGGAGTGAGGAAATATCACAGGAATAAAATAAGAATGAAGAAAAAGCACGGAGAAGAGAAAGATGCCGAATCACGAAGCCGGCAGTTACAGTGATGGGGGTGGAGCCAAAGGCAGATTCTTATCTGACCCGAGAAGAGTGTTAAATTCAGCACTTCTGACTTTTCTTTGTATCTTCTTACCTTTCTTTGTTTCGAATGCCTAACGGTTTGATATTTAAACTTTTAGCAATTTTCTTTGCTCAAAGAAATAACACTCAAATAGAAAGTTCGACTCCGTGTCTCTGCTTCTCTTGGTTTTAAACTCACAGCCTGCGCGCTGTGGTTGGAGGGTAATCTCCCTCCCACGGTTCTCCAGTTCCCGCAGGGCCTGAAGGCCTCCACTTTGTAAAATCCCTTTGGAACAGAGTGCTTTGTGCTCCAATGGAAAAACAGGGTTGCAGCAAGCCTATGCCCATGTAGAATTGAGCATGATTACCTGTGGTAGCAGGCACAGTTTGGAGGACCATGTCACCCGTGCCTCGGAGTCCCCACCTAACCAGGTGTCGCATGACAGTCGAGGGAGAGGATAACATCTATGTTGCGCCCTGAATCAATATCTCTCTGCATTGGTGTCACAATTACCACTGAAAAGGTCAGGTGGAGATATGAAACTCTCAAAGGACAGCCTGCAGAATGTCTTCAGGAGAGGCGAGGACAAGAGCTGGCCAAATACTCTGGTCCCCAAACCCTACCCATCACTGTAGAGACAACGCCGGGAAATCCACACCAGGGCCCGGAGGACAGGCTCTCCTAAACATGTATTAGCTGTCCCCTACCATTACATGGGAGGGAGAGAGGCAGGATAAAATATTGTGCAGATGTGTCCAAAGAGAATCAAGGGCACTTTTAAATTTTTTAAAAACCCAGTGTGCAGATAAATCTTTCACTGCCCTGACTAGAGAGAACCAGGGACAGACAATTGGCTGCACAATGTAGAACCGTGCCTGAGGAAGGGACCTCAGATGGGAAAACCTCTCAGAGGGCCCTGTGCAAAACTTGCTGTGACTGCGCCCCTCAAAAAGCATGAGGCAAGAGGAAAAAGCAAGGGAAAGACCCCTTGAAGGCTGCCCGCCAGCTCCTAAGTGCTTTTCCTTATATGTCAACATCCCAGTGCTGCTGCAGGACCTGCTCGCTGGAGCAGGCTCAGTGTAACGTCATCCCTGCTGGCAAGTGTCCCCTCACCCCCACTCCCCAGGCGGGAAGGCTGGCCGGACTCACTCCCCACCAAAGGATGGCACCGAGGACTTGGGACATGTTGACAGAAAGGCAGCTTCACTAGGGCAGATGTCCAGGAAAGCGACTGATGAGAAGCCTGTGTCCCCTTGAATTAGAGTTTATTGGCAGGAAATAATAGGACGAAGCCAACTGTGGGCTGCACAGTGGTACACGTCCCGGTGGGGTGGCCCAGGAGCAGTGTTGCGGGGTCGCATTCCATCCCACTGTCAAGTAATCAAAATGAGCAGATCATAGGTCACACTCTGGTTCAGCATCCACATGCAGACTCAACATCAACTCCCTAGGATCGCTGCCCACCATTGCAACCCAGCTGAGCATTGCCTATTCGACACGCGGGATTTTAAAGTGTTCTTATTACCCAAACAATTAGATAATGACAGAAATCAAATATCTAACCCTCTCACCTTACAAACCTTCAAATGACGTTTCAGGAGAGAGGATTTTTTAAATGGTATGGTTGTTCTTTACTTCAAGCAGTAAACCTGCTACTGAAAACATGTGTGTCAATTAGCCTTATGCAAATGAAATCCTTCTTAAAATGCACCAGATTACAAACACTGCTTTAAACCCTTTATTGCGTTTGCTCACGTAGTCTTCAGAAGCCCCGGAGGTAGGCATTATTGATATCTTTTGATATGTTCATTTTGCAGGTAGAAAAGTGTGACACAGAAAGGTTGAGGAACTTGACCAAGGCTGCAGAGCTGGGTTCGGACTGGGCATCCCAGATTCTGAGCCCATGTTCCTAACTACAAGCTACATTGCTTCCCAATGGACTAATGGGGGGTTAGTTGGTTAGCAACACCTGCCCCTCCCAAAGACACAGTTTATAAAGATGCACTGTCACATGTGGTCATGTTTAATGTGAACCACGCCCCACACTTAAAGTCTCTAATGACAAGTGCTTATTTCCTAATAAATCATTCACACAACTGAGACAGAGCTGAATTCATAAAGAAACCCTTGTTGGCCTCCCTTTGAGTGGATGCCCATATCCACTCCCCCTTCTTCTTTTCTAGAAAAACCCCAAATAGCTTTGGACAGCATTATAGGCAGTTAAAAATACTTACCTCCCTACAGAGGATCTATTAAAAAACCTCAGCTGACATCACATTTAATAGTAAAAGACTGGGCGTTTTCCCCCTAGGATCGGGAAGAAGACAAGGATGTCTGTTATCACCATTTCTATTCAACATTGCGCTGTAGGTTCCAGCCAGGGCAATAAGGCAAGAAAAAGAATTTAAAGGTGTAGAGACTGAAAAGGAATAAGGAAAACTGTCTTCATCCAAAAAGACATGATTTTCTATGTAGAAAATCCTAAAGGATATATAATAAAGCTACCAGAACTAATAAGTGAATTTAAGCAAATTCACAGGATACAAGATTTTTGATATACGAAATGCAATTCTATTTCTATATTCTAGCAATGAACAACTGGAACTTGAAATAAAAATGCCACTGCAATAGCATCAAAAAAGTGAAATGCTTACAGATACATTTTACAAAAAATGTGCAATATCTGTACGCAAAAACTAAAAAACATTGCAGAAGGAAATTTAAAAGGAGCACCCAAAGGGAGAGCTATCCTGTGTTCACAGGTCAGAGAACTTTCTATTGCTAAGATGTCACTTCTTCTCACATTGATCTATGGAATCAACACCATGCCAGTCAAAAATCCCAGCAGACTTTATTTGTAGAAACTGACAAGCCGATCATAAAACTTACGTGGAAATACAAAGGACCTGGAACAGTCAGAATGATTGTGAGAAAAAAAAGTTGGAGGATCCACATTAACTGATTTCAAGACTTACTATAAAGCTGTAGTAAACACAATAGCGTGGTATTGGAATAAGGATAAAACTACAGATGAATGGAAAAAATAGAGTCCGAAAATAGAGCCACACATGTATGGTCAACTGATTTTCAACAAAGGTACCATGGTCATTGGAGGAAAAAAACAGTCTTTTCAACAAATGGTGCTAGGACAACTGAAAATCCACATGCAAAAACAGATAAATAAATAAAAGAACCTCAACCCTTACAGCACACCATACACAAAAATTAACTCAAAGTGGATCATAAACCTAAATATAAGAGCTAAATCTACAAACCTTCTAGAAGAAACCATGGGAGACAATCTTAGAGATGTTGGGTCAGGCAAAGATTTTGTGAGATAAGACACAAAAGGGTTGAATTTCTCCAAAATTAAAATTCTGCTCTATAAAGATACTGTTAAGAAAATGAAAAGGCAGATAATGGATTAGGAGAAAATATTTGCAAATCATGTATATAATAAAGAATGTACATACAGAATTTATAAAGACATCTCACAACTCAATAGAAGAAAACAAAATCCAGTTTAACAAATGGGCAAAAAATTTGAACAGACACTTCACCAAAGAAGATGAACAAATGGCAAATAAACATCTGAAAAAGAATTGAGAAACGCAAATTAACACTATACTGAGATACCACTGCACATCCACTAGGATGGATAAAATGAGCAAGACAGGAAATACCAAGTATTGGCGAGGATGTGGGCCAACCAGAAGTCATTCCTGGTGGGAATGCAAAACGGTACCACCACTTTGGAAGACAGTTTGGCGGTTTCTCATAAAGTTAAACATATACTTACCCTAGAACCCAGCTATTCCATTCCTAGATATTTACACAAGACAAACAAAAACACGTCCATGCAAAGCCTTGTATCAGAATGTTCATAGGAGTTTTATTCATAATGGCCCAAACTGGAATTGATCCATATGTCCACCAACTGGTTCATGGATAAACAAATTACAGTACATCCATACAAAGGAATACTACTCCACAATAAAAAGCAAGGAACTACTGACACATGTGACAACTTGGACGGATCGCTAAAGCATTTTGTCAAGTGACAGAAGCTGGATACAAAAGACCATATACTATGATATTTCATTTATATTAAACTATAAAAAAAGGCAAACCTATAGCAAAAGAAAAATCGGTGCTTTTCAGGAGTCAGAGTCAGGGGAGGGGACTGACAGCAAAGAGGCATGAAGGAACTTTTCGGGG